AAACTGTATGTACGACTCTCGGGCCGCCTCCGCGCCCCCCCAAAAAAACGCTCATGACTTGCTGTGCTAGAAAAAGTTCCCGCCCATTTTTTTGCACCCTTGTAGGAGAAGGTAACTCATCTTGCGTGCGTGGGAGTATGGATGTGTGACGGTTGTTGAGCCACAGATGTTGCGTTTTGAGTGATGGACCTCCTGTCAAATCNCCATTTTTTTGCACCCTTGTAGGAGAAGGTAACTCATCTTGCGTGCGTGGGAGTATGGATGTGTGACGGTTGTTGAGCCACAGATGTTGCGTTGTGAGTAATGGACCTCCTGTCAAACAAATATTGCAAGAACGCCTCCCCAGCACTTGTTTTTCTGTGCCCGTTCCATTTTTCTGGCGCCAGCAGACACCCCTCTCGGTGAAGATACATGTTCAGCTCATCAGCCAGGGTCACACACAACTCTTCTTTGCCCCTTTCGTTATTGTTTCTCCTCCCCAATTTTCCCTGTTTCGGGCTGCAACGCAGGCCTATTAGTGGCGGTTTACCGAGCGGCGGTGATGCCTACCAAGGCCTTGTTTGAGGAGGCAATTGAGCCAGTCAAGAAGGACTTCCCGGCCAACTACAAGCTCCTCATGAAAGACGACCTTGACAAATGGACACACCATGCTACCCCCAGCAACCTGGTCAACCTGAAGATGTCCACCTCCAACTCTGCGGAGTCCACCATTTCCGTGGTCGGCCACCAGGTTGGTGAACGAAAGGGGTGGATATGTTGAAAAGCCTTTTGCAGGTCCGAATTGACGCACTATACCCTTCAAGAGGAGCGTTTCTCGCTGGATCTCATAGCTGGTGCGTCAGGATGTCCTCTCACTCAGCGTCAAGCGGCAGATGTCGGTTCCCGTGTGGGCGTACACAGGAGCCAGCGTTTTGTGAAGCCCCCGACAGCCGACCACGGTTGTTCCGAGTGTTCTCTGTTGACATTCCCATCGCTTCTTCTCATTTATGCATGTTATCTTGTGTCGTGAATGTTGGTGGTAATCGAAGTGGTATTTAGTAGGTGCTTTTTTTCAGTGGATCGATCCAGCATGAAAGAATCCAAGATGAAGCGACTATGTACCATCCCTCACTACTATACATCCGCATAAAAAAGACTTGGTGGATGAGTGCATTTCTGTTTCCCATCCGGAGAATATCGTAGCCCCTCCCTTGTCACCCGTTGGTCAGCGTGTCAGCGGGGTCCATGCTAAACGTGAGGACACATGTACATTCTCACCCAATTTTATTATTGTTAGGAATCCTGCAGTCCCGATTCTTCAACGGCCACCTGTCCGTGTGTTGTGATTTCCTTCTCTACGCACCAGTGTGTGCGGCCACAAGCTTTTTATGTTGTTCCTTTTTTACTCGTCAGCGTCTGAATCGTTGATGTGTCCCTTTTCCGTTGTTGACGTTTGTTGCTCGCAGAAACGGGAAATGGACCCTTATCATTTCCACATCGAGATTGCGGAGAAAACTGCGGAGCAACTCGCAACGAATGCCGAACTACTGAAAGACTGCCATGCCATCCTCGTTCCATTCGCGGCCAAGTTCATGAAGGACGAGAGGTTGCTTAGTCTTAGTAAGTACCGGGGCAACCACGCCTGGTGCGTTCCTTGTTGTTTCCTCCGTTAATTCTACGGCTGCGTGGTCGGTTAGGTGTAGTACGACCCCGTCGGTTGGGTGACCCACCCGTGCTGTCTCTCTCTTTTTGAGTCAATGATTTATTCGTCCGTTTCGGCTGTCGCTTTGTGTGTAGTGGACTCTTGACAACCAAAGAATGACACCTGTCTTTCATCGACGGCACAAACTCTGTTTCGTCTGCTTTCTTCCCTTCCTTCTTTGGTTCATGGCGTTGGCCCCACTCGTCGGCAGCAAGCACGTCAAGAGCATGGGCTTGGGCACCTACCTTGTTCAGGTGCACGGCAAGAACCAGTACGGCAACAGGGTGACAATCGTGCTGCCGGACACGGAAGGGAAGGGTGGCCGCGTCGAGTGCACCTGCAGAGTCCCTACCAGGTTCCACCTCCTGTGCCAGGACGCCCTCGCGGTGTTGAAATGTAAGCCTCCTCCATCGGGTTGAAAACATGGATCGCAACTAATTGGGTTATTCAATCTTCCGCTTGGTGTCCTCTGTTGGCCGTCTGTGATCCGTGTGCATTCTGTATGTTTTATTCTCGCAGCTCACGTGCAATGTACCACCTCATACAATCTACATTGCAGATCCTCGTATCTCGTCTCTGGGTATTCCTCTGGTCATCTGTCGCTCGAAGTTGTTCTTTCTTGGCCCTTCTTTTGCCTATGGCACAAGCTCACCGTTGGCTGTGAACGAGGTTCTCGTAGAATGAAGTGGGATTCCGTCTGCCTGTGCATATCATTTATGTCACCAAGCTATTCAGCACCCACCCCCTCTCGATGGATTTCCATGAAGGTAGACAGAGGTTGATGAGCGTGTTACCACTGCTTGGGAGGAGTGTGAGCTCTTGGACAAACATCCCCTCGTTGGTATTGTTCAATGATGCTTTGCTAGAAGCACGGGATTCATGCCTTGCCGAAAACACGTCGCTACGTCGGATGTTAACTAAGGTGAGATCCAGGATAAGACAAGNGGAGTGTGTGCTATTGGACAAACATCCCTTCGTTGGTATTGTTCAATGATGCTTTGCTAGAACCACGGGATTCCTGCCTTACCGAAAACACGTTGCTACCTCGGATGTTGACTAAAGTGAGCTTGAGGATAAGACAACAAATACAAAGATGGATCAAAACAGCCCTGGTTTTCACACAACCTAGTGAACACGTTTTGTGGTGATCGGGCTCCTCGGTCGGTTGGTGTATTTGCCCATATCCGTAGCACCGGTCACACATCCGTGTCCGGCAGCACGAGTACCCTTCTAACGGCCATTTATTGTGAAGGGAACCCACAAGTACCCTTCTAACGGCCGTGTTCTGTGAAAGGAACCCACGTGGAGGCGTCGTAGGAAAGGCAAGGCTATTTTGGGGGGGGCTCGCGGTTCAGCGCTACGGCTCGCAAGACGCTTCCGGCCGCGACCAAGCAGCGGGGGCGGGGGCCGGGTCATGCGCTATGCTAAATCAATCCCAACGCTCCATCGACCTGTCGTAGCTCAAGTGGTTCGACTCGTAGCTCAAGTGGTTTGACTCGTCTTAGGGTTAGGTAACTTGGGCCTTTGAATTTCTTCGTCGCACGTTGTCGGAGTCAAATACGACGCTGTGGTCCGTGAATGGCAGGGAGCAAGTGGTCGAATGTGTGTGCAGCTTTGCGTAAAACTCCCGCGACGGCGGGGCGCGTGTTGTAGCGCCTAATTTCGCGTGCCAGTTTCCAAATGCTACAANGGTTTGACTCGTCTTAGGGTTAGGTAACTTGGGCCTTTGAATTTCTTCGTCGCACGTTGTCGGAGTCAAATACGACGCTGTGGTCCGTGAATGGCAGGGCGCAAGAGGTCAAATGTGTGTGCAGATTTGCGTCAAGCACCCACGACGGCGGGGCGCGTGTTGTAGCGCCTAATTTCGCGTGCCAGTTTCCAAATGCTACAATATGCACAACAGACAGAGATGAACAGCGAAATTCGACAACCACGCACGCACATGACTTCGACTTGGCTTGAAAAATGGGTAGAACCGTCGAGCCCCAAGAGGAAGCTGTTGTGAAGGACGGTTATCGTCAGCCTTATCGTCAGCCATGCGCACGCACGTACCTGCAAACCGCTTCTCACGATAATCGCGACGAAGAGCGTTTGCGGAAGTGGCCCTTCACCCCAACAGACAGATTCGCAACCGAATAACTAATCCACCGTAAACGCCCGTTACCCAAACGTGTTCTTGTCAACGGTGGAGGAGGGGACAGTGCGTCGTGTAGAAACACAGAACGCAAGTGTTGGATGCGCCCCCAGACATAGTTGCCGGTCCACGTCTGCACCGATTAGTGATGTGTACGCAGCGAAAATAAATTGGGCCACAACCTTAACATTTTGAACGCCATGCGTTTACTGCTGTGTTCTACTGCTGCACGATGGCAACACTACGTGCGAAGAGTCTACTAGACTACAGTACCACACCGCGAAAGAAAGGTGTGTTTGGTGTTACCTCGGCAAGCAAACATGCATCTGCAGCATTTAACTCTGTATGGGTCGTTGTGCACATTTGGATGGCTTTCGGTGCGTGCGTGCACACAGAATGTTGCACCACCTTCTGGCTTCGTGTCGCAGCTTCTACATGATTCAATGGGTGGGGGGGGTTACGGCTGTCTGCTGTGCATACAGCGGTGGATACGTGTACATGTAGTCTATGTCATGTACGTCCTCCACCTGTCGGAAGAAGTACCTTAGAATAGGAGTTTTCGTCGCTTGGCAACGACGTTGTAGAACACCGTTCGAGGTGACGACAGCAGTACTGTTGCTGCTGCTGTAATCCCCCCTCATACCCGCAGTTGTTCCACGGGACGTCTTCTGAACCGGGTTTTACAATGCCCCGATGTGCCGTCCCGAAAAACTGCAGGGTGGCCATCATCAAATCGAGCAAGAGAGAAAGGCACGATATTTTTACATCTCAAACTCGATCGTCTCGGAATTAATTCTCGCTAATCGAGTTTGGCGTTTAGAGGGGTTCTTGTCACATGGAGGCTCCCGCGAGGAGAAAGGGCTTCATTTTGGACCACAAACTTCATCTGGACCAAATTGCAGAGCCGACGGGAGACGTCGATAAGTTGTGATACGAAAGTGGCGGCGGAGGAGGAAACGAAAATGGAGCAGCCAGGTTGCGCAAGAGACTTTCCTGGAGGAAGGGCAATTTCCTGCAAGTCACAATACTCGCAAACAACCGATTGATTGTGATCTGGTGTAGTCTAATTTTGGATGCTTAAGTGGTAATTTTCAAGGACCCGATTTTGGTTGTCCCTCCATAACTTTTGACTGAGAGCGAGTAAAAGAAAAAGAAAAACAGCTTCGGAACGCCCGCGGCAAGGCGCAAAAGAGTAGCGAGTCGCCAAAAAAAAAACGGAAAAAAAGAGAAAAAAACAAAGAAAAAAAGATGCTCGCGGCGGGTCTCGAACCCACGAAATTGACACTATAATAGAGCATATATCTTGCTAATCCTTTTTTTTTTTTTCGCACCAAACCACCCATACGTGCACAGGAACGCCCTCAAACACTAGGCAAATGCCTCTACCGCACCTATAGCGTACATACAACACAAAAATTGGCCGTTTTCAACAAAAATGTTCCATTTTTGTACAACATTCCCACCAGACACACGGAAAAAAACTGAACAAATACAGCTCAATGAACAAGAATGCGCCATCGACTCTACGGCCTCCATTCCTTCGGGGTCGGGCGCCTGTGCGACTTGTACTTCTTGTACGTCTTCTTGCCCTCAGGCCCTTGCACACGCGTCTCGCGGTACATGAGGGCGTGTATGTACCCCTTCTTGCAGTAGCCCTGGACTACCGAAACAGCCTGTCTATCCTTCTCTGGTCTAAAACTCAGCGGCACGTTCTTGCGCAAGCATTCCAACGAATATTTGCAGTTCTTTCGAGTCCAGTCCTTCGCTCGGCCCCAAACAAGCTCGATGGGGTTACACTCGCAGTGGTACTTAGGAAGCATGAGACAGGCCCCCCCGTGGCGCTGCATCAACAGCACCAGACTAGAATCAACCTCCTTGAAGTCCTTCTGCTCTCCTCCCAAAACTTGCTCCATGCTCCTGCTGAGGTCCTGCTTTTCGCCCGAGCCCCCCGTCTTACTCATGCCTTTGACCAGGAGCCCCCTCTCCCACAAAATCTGCCGTATTCCTTTGAACTTTCCGACATATTGCGCCGGCTTGAGATGCGGGGAGTGGAAGGGGG